TAATCTCGAGCATAGCATTTTCATCCAAACCGAATTCAATTCTGACATCTTACGAAAGGATTCATGCGTGATGAATTCAATTATCCAGCTTTCTTTCATCTACTTCAGGTGGCAGATGTACAGCACTTGCGATATTACACTACCATCTTATGTACTTTTCTGTAATTCAGCAAGTAACTGAGCGGATTCAATGCTAGACAGGATAGTTGCGATGAGGTTTAATTCAGTATTATCGAGTTATGCTTAGTTTTCTCTGTTCTTTACTATTTCAATATTTTATCTTTTGTATTTATCGAATATATCCAACGTTTTTCACTATTCCATTAGGTAGCCTTTTAGTCCAGTCAGAAATTGCTTTCTGCTTGGTTGTATGCATCCTATTTTTCAGTTTGTCTTGGCACCATGTTCTTGTTCAACACCTTGTATATTTGTCAGTAATAATTTGATGATAAATTATTGATAACTTCGTTTGTCGTAACGTGTCATCATTCGAACATTTCTCATTGTTAATGATGACGCTCCATTTCGTTCAGGCTGTACAGTGTTGGCTTCGATGTTGAGCAGATCAAATCGTCTCAAGGTCATAAGCCGTTTTCCCGCAGCTCTACCGGCGCCTACCGACCGGGATTCTGCATCCTTCGTCTATCAGACGTTCCGGCTGGCGTTTACAACATAGTGCCTACAACGTTTTTTCCCGGACAGGAAGGCCCATTTTTTCTAGACATGTCTGCCAGCTCTGCCTTCGTTCTGAAGCGGATTCAATAAATCTTTTTACTGATTTTGACATTTTTCTTTAGGCAAGCACTTGCAACTTTGTGAAGCTTCAATGCGGTTTATCGTCGCCTCTAAAATACATGTGAATTCGCCATCAGGCTCTGCTTATTAGCGAAAACAAGTACGCTTTTTTTCGAAATGCAAAAGAAACTTCTAAAATCGTAGTAGAACAGAACCACGCTAGCACGACCGAATTTTGATCAGACTTAATCAACGAACATGGGCTAACTCGTGTGATCGTATTAAGGTGTCGATGACAACCGTAAAACCTCTGCTAGATATATTACAGAATCTTCATCTTTCATGACTGCTTCTTCTTTCGAGCCACGGACGCGTTACACTTCGAACGTTCCCTGTCCTGTGCCAGAGTCTGAGCTTCCGCGAACCAGATGGCATAATCTCAGTTTGGCGGTGAGATAATGCCATTAATTCTGTGGAACGGAGTTCTACTAACTGCATGTAATTATATTTCATTAATCACTTTATGTACAGAATTCACTAACTCAAACAGATCTCTGCAATTAACCTTTGTCGCGATTTTTAAGCGTTAAAGTGCTATCAAAAAGATTAAAAAATATATCAGCCAAAGTTTTGTCAGCAAATTATTTGTTAGTTCAATAAACCATTACAACAGTAGTGGCCATGTCCCACAAAAAGTGTATTTATCAACGTCATCGTCAAACTTTGCCATATTCTTCTAGATGCTTGTCTTGTTTCTAAAAAGTCGATGTTAATTAACAACTTTCAATAAGCATGAATACCATGGTTGAAATGTAGTTAAGCAGCGTTTTCATTTTCATACGGCACTTGAGGGTAAAATCTTGCAATGCCAAGATGCTTGCAGCACACATGACGCTTGCTTCTGGAGAACAAACCGTACAACATCCCAAACCTATGTAACGAGATAATGCACGGCACGCCAAAAAACCGTTACTTTGTTTATACCAGAAGGCAAACTCAAGGAAGACCAAATATTAGGCGAAAACACTTCTTCCACTTTAGGGGGACAGTTGATGACCGGGAAGCAGGTATTGCCGGCTAAAACCGGTCCTAATCCATTACTTTTACCCGCAACTGCGATAAACACCGTAGAAACATGGTCTCCTAAAGGAACAGACATAGTATAATTTTACACCTAATGGCGGTACCTTCATATTCGCTAATAAGTTTCAGCGTTTCTTCAGTGCTTTTGTGCGCTGAGGAAACGCGCAATATACAGGGAATACCGTAATGCTTGCAATGAGATTCGATCTTTTTGCAAAAACTGTAGTCACTTGCAGATCCCATCACGACTACCACTCGACCACACGGTGCCTGTACAAATTTCTACAAGAAAATAATAATGCAACAGAAAACTGCTAAATTCAAATAAGGGACGATAACATACATCTAACTTCTCGACAACCCAAGAAAAATTCTTCTTTAGCTGCTCCAAGTTTTCGGGCGTTACCTCAGGCAAATCACGATAATACTGTTTGTCTACCTGAAGCCGTTTGTCTCCTCCTGGCCACAATCGCCAACTATCGTTGTCGATCACATCTGCCAAAATTATGTCACCTGAAAATTAATTTTATTAAATAATGAAGTTACAGTAATAAAGCACATTGCTGATTTTCATAAAACAGGCTGGCAACTATAGACATCAGAACAGCCGGAGAAAACTGACTATTATAATTCCGTAACAAGGATCATCGACATTAACGTTTTACTCAAACGTCGTAAGAGAAAAGATAAAAGCCGATGTGAATAAAGCATTGGAAAAAATGGGGGATAAATTATCAGGTGTCTGTGCAGTTTCAACAAAACGAAATTTGAGAGTAAATCATCATTACCGTAGGTAATGTGATTTCATTTGCTGGTTGGCGGTGTAAGCTCGAACCTAGGTCGGTTCAAATGAATTTTCTGCAGAAATTCTGAACTGATATAAGCAGAAACAACGAGTGGCGTCTTCAATTTCCAGTGACAAGATACCGAATAACATTATGTAAATGTGAAAGATAAAATACGATTAATGCATTAAAAATAGTTATTCCTCGTCCACGCCTGCTACTGAGACACCGCCAATAAGTATACAGTCGACTGATTTTACCAGCGGTGCACTGAATTCAAAATCCTTAACAATTAAATGCCAATTCATAGCTTACCTGATTCAGGGTCTACTCCAAACTCGACCTTCATGTCAATCAGCGAACACCCTTGGGCGAGCCAAGCCGTTTCAAGCACCTCGAAAATAGTACGTGTGACATGGCTCATCAACTCGATTTCGCGTTTGCCAATGTGGATCCCGCTTGCGGTCAAACCAGATTCTTCAAGAGTTTCTTTACTCCATTCCGGATCTCCTTTCTCATCGTCCTTTAAAATGACAGTAAAGGGTGAAAAATTTTTAAAATAAAATAGGCAAACTTTTAAACGAATACTCCGCTATACTAAGCAAGCGGAAGTACAAATGCACTAAACAGCAGAACACATCAATTAGATTTTGTTCACACAGTTTGAAGTGGTAGTACTCTGCGATTCGGTTTCTAAGGTTAAAATTTATCTCTACAAATACAGAACATGCCTACAAACGTGTCCTCTAGTCAGAAGGATGTCCATAAATTTAAAAACCAAGGTTATGCAGAAAAACGCTATGCTGCGATTCACAGGATTTCCAAAAATGCGTTGAAAGATAAATAGCAACTTTCGTGTGTTGCAAACGGTAACACGTGCTAATCTGGTTAACACATCTCGTATTGCAAAACATCCAGTTTTTAGGAATAGGAAGAAAATCAAACAGGAAAGCAAAACACAACGGTAAAGAAAAAAACAATAGCATAAAAATAAAATTACGCATTTTTAAAGTATATTGCGATTCTGAGGTCAACAACTCATTTACTTATGAATTTGCTTTCTTAGAGGAATGGTAGGTGGTACCAATTTGAAGCCTGCTTGAATAACTATTAATGGTTTTCGTTTTCCGATTCGTGTTCATGGCAACAATAAACTTAGGACAACGTGAAATGCTTCATTTAACGACGTTTTAATGCCGCACACCAGCATCATCGTAAGATTAATAATGTACAAATGCAACAACACGATGCTATGAAAAGGGTTATGTAAAATTTTGAGTGACAATAACGTTTCTTCCATTCTTTCGAACAAGCTGGACGATGACATTCCAGCTGTTATTCAAACGGTACGAGCTCGTACAATCGGTGTATAGTTGGCTTTTGCTAGCTAATATTCGTCGGACTGAAGAAGTATCCCAAACAAACAGAAGGGGAGACGATGTGAGGATGCTCCGTTTTTCCATTCCTCAGAGGTGCTTACGATCATTTCGCCCAATCTCCGTCTGGTTTTTCCAATACAGATCTTGTCAAGTTATTGTCACTCAAAATAATACATAATTTACATCTTAATATCGTGCTGTTTCACTTGTGCAGCATTACCATGATAACTAACTGGTACGCCAGCATCGAAAATAAAGGATTTTACAGAATTCTTTTTAATTACTGCTTTGAACTTGGAATATTTTTTCACATTAACGATTCAGATGAGATTCACATAAACGATTTGTTTTTGGGGTGAAAAGCAAATAATTATAAGATTAATTCTCCTCACTGAAAATGACCTTGGGGTAAAATACGCTGTGAAAATTTCCCGCATTATCGCCTGCGTGCCGTAACTAGAAACGGAGTAAAATAAAGCAGTATCATATATGACGCAGAAAAAGCGAGGAGATTTATAACCTTCCGTGCAATGAAAATTGAAATTCTCAAAAAATGAGCATGTATTTGAAACGTTTAAAAATTCAGACTGCAGAATCGGAGAACGAAGGAATCATTTGGGGTTCAATTTTTCCATTGATCCTAAGCAAAGCAAGAGTGAGTGTTTAGTAGTGATGGAACAGGCGGATATAGAGGTCAGCTACGTCTGTTCACGCAAGATTCGAACCTCAGAATGCTTTGTAATAAATACATAAAGCTTAACAAAAGTACGCTAGAAAGCTTGATAAATATTAGTAGTTGTAAATATCTCATAAATTTAACGCTGAAAGTAAAATTCAGAATGATAATCATAAGTAAACAATTTGTTCCCGCAATCTTAAACAAGGTATAAATGCGTTTTTTCATCATTTTATGAAACCAATCAAGAATTATGTACCAAGTCCATGGTCAGGTGTAGCCACGGTGAATAAGAGACTGTTACAGTAGAGTAATGATGGAATGAAAATATCTTGGGCACTTTTCAGCAGCGGTGTGCGAAACATTCTGAAAATGTGATGGTTCCGTCGAATGAAAAAGTCTTGGAGACGACCGACCTGAAAATGTCTGAACAAATCAAGCACCAGCGTCTGCTGTGTAGAGAGAGGACAGAGACCTATCCAAAACTAATCTCCTGTGGGAAACAAAAGATGTAGACTCGTCAGAGATCGACATCACACTCTAAAGTAGCTGCTGGAGGTGGATCTGCTTCCGATGAGAAAAGTGACCTTTACCGCAGCAAACATCGCCCAAATCATTCTAAGAAGCCAAATCATCAGAATTTTGGACCTACTCGGTCTTTCATCCCGATGCCTCAGACACAGGAATGAATAATAAAGGTTTAGAATTTTCTGGCCATTCGATTAAGCTAGGGAATGATTCAGCTTATAACTAACTCCATGACGAAGTCAGATAATTCGGCAAACAAAATAAACCGTAAATAAATTTTTGTAAAAAATCTTTCCCCTTCTCCTGCGAGTTGGAACTGGATATATGTTCACTGCAACGAAAGAATCCTAACAGGTAAATATTTAATCTACATAATGCTAAGGAACATGCTCACACACTCATTACAGCAGGAAGAAAATATTGAAGACCGAAATATACATTCTAGCTAACTGCCAGTAATCGTGGGTTTATTAAACTTCGGAAAGATTATTAAAATGCTCATTTAATTTGCGAATAGTTAGCCCAATCAGCATGTGCATCAGCAAGAATAAATAATTTTATATCATAGCTTATGATTTCATAAAATCACCTTGTAGAATATTTCGATTTTGGGTGGATTGAATCGATATCCTTGTTTGACACTGGGATTACGTTTAAGAAAACTTCCGGTGGCAACTCTTCGAGCCACCCATTCCAGAGGTATCATTACGCACCGCTTCGCCAAGAACTCCTTATCACTCATTTGCTTGACGAAGTGAGTACGCACACCTTCGTAAGTAAAACTTATTACGGAAGATCACAGCAAATCATCGAACTTACCCAAAGAGTTAAGAAACTGAAAAACTTTGCACGTCGTTAGATTACTCAGCATCGCTTTGCCAGTCAAGTCATGCTTTCGCAAGGCGTTGAAAGCCGTTATCTGATCTTTGCTCCGGATGACCACTAAATTTGTTCCGGGAACCTCCAAGATTTGCTTCGTTTTCCCTTCTGCAATTTGGGAACATTTTTCAACATCTAAATTATCACACAATAAATGTATGGAAACTACGAATGAAAAACTACGTAACTAACGACTTAATTACTGCAACCAAGTTTTAACAGGACATCCATAGCTCATTAAGGTTAAAGGATTTTTCTGTTCTTAAACTGTGGCCTCAAAATTTTGTAAATGAAATTGCCCTTCGCTTGGAGTTCTCTTGCACAAACCTTCTTATTCACAATAGTCGTACCATCTTGACAATAGGTGTGGTTCCAGATCGTTGCAAACTATTTCTAACAGCCATTATTATATTTGTAGTGGATCAAGTGGAGGAATACCACACTAATTAAAAATTGTCAGCTATTTTAAGTTCCTCCCAAGTTTCATTTACTCAAACAGGTACATAAGGCACGCTGGAGGTTAATTTTGGAATTTCGACATTACATCAACGCTGAAGATTAACAACTCAGAATTTTGAAAAAAAACAAACCGCAGCTCAGCTAGGCAAAAAAAAGACAAAACCCATACACAACCACGAGAATATATGAAAAAACTAACCTATTACAAGGGTCATTAATTTCACAAGTGTGACAATCTCATGTAACATGGTCCGAGTAAAAAATTCTGTGTAGTCTGATACCTTCAATCTGAAGTATCCGTAATACTGAGTTCAATGTCTATATTTTCCTACCCGACAGCAGGCGTATGAGAGCAAGATTTCGATTAGCTTGTCTTCAGAATTATTATACATTGTAAAGCAAAGTAATAATGAATGGAACCATCAGTCTCACCTTCTACTCAAAAAACTGACAACGTGACTGCAATAGCCACTCTTAAAACATGAGATAACTTCGTACGTGCCGGAAGTAAATACTTAAATACTTGAACACGACCACTTTAATTCGAACTGAGGACAACCCAAAAGAATCCTCATGCTGAACTTTTTCCTCAAAGGTCATGCATCAATCAAATAATAAAAAATCTCCATTTAGTAATGTAACAAATCAGCAATATTCCATGTATTTGCAACCAATATGCCGTAGCAGTTAAAGCTCGTTGAAGCAACCGAAAAAGTCATGGTTACGACTGTCCGGACAGAGGACTTACGGTGAGGCAGAAAAATTCATCAGTGCTTGACAGAAGCCTTTTCTTCAGTTACTTTCGTTATACATTTTCCGTATCTACTATTTTGAAGCATTAGTAAATCATGTTCCCGCGCTGTAATACGCAATAGTCAGAAAGGCCATCGTCAAAAATCAGAGTTTACGCCTGGCATATTATTGCTGCTGTAAATGAGCAAACAAAAAAAACATACCTATTTCAGCGCAGGTTTTTGATTCCATAATGTAACACTAAAAGCGACCGAGATAAACACGGTAAAAGTCAATGCACTAGAGTAACGTTATCGGGTTTACTACTGTTGTAAGTACCATGGCATAACCTGTAAGAAATTCTTCTTGACAATCATTACAAAAACGTGCGTTCACAAAAATGCATTTAGGGCAGGGTAAGGGCATCAAACCCCGTTTACATGTGCTTCAGCAAAATAAATAACTGATCATTACTAAAATGGCAAATATAATAAGAAACTATTTTCAGTACATTACAATTAGGTGAAACTCGCAAAATCTGCTCAAAGAGCGAACGCTTCAATAAAAGCTGCAAACACGGTTTTGACAGTTAAACAGTCGATTGTTCATGCCTTAGTCAGCTCAGTAACATCACAAGATGGGATCAAGTGAGCATCGCAAAGCAAGTTTTTCAAATACTCATGCGACGCTAAACATGTCAATGATCATCTCATAGCCGCTTTATAAAACGGCGACTCATTTACATTGATAATCTCCGCTGATTTAAATAAATGGCATATACTTCAAAAGGTTTCAAGCGGATCGAAGCAATGCTATGAAATTAACTGTTGCAAATCCATATTAAAAATAATAATGACAAAGGATTGAAAATGTGCAATGTCAAATAGAAAATGTATCTCTTACTATACACTAGCAGCAGTATTGCAGCTCCACCTTGTTTTTAGACTCCTCCGAGGCAGTTTAAGAAGGTTCCAATTCCATGGCATTTAAGCGCCTCCACTGCACTGAACCGAAAACCGCGTCTTAAACTTGGGTTGAACAAAAGTATATTGGACTAAGCGAAATTGCCACGATCCATAGGCGAGTAAGTGGAAAATATTTAACCCCGATGCCTTAGGGGAGTTTTCGGTACCGCCGTTTCAATCTGGTATCATGATTACTTTTAATGTGACATATTCAGCGGCGGCATCGAAAGCTTGACTAGAACATCGTTATATTTCATCGCTACCTCCTTATTTTTCGTTCAATTCATTGTTAGTGAAGGCTAAGTTAAAGCGGTTAGACAAATGAGTGAGAAATGTCCGAACATGATACTGTGTCTCATGCCTATAAACCATCTGAAATAAAAATGAAGATTTGTGCATTTATTCAGCTCGAATGACGGACACTTTATGGAATCGAACTCGTATTTTTAGTTCGAAGGCGAAATGGATGCAGTTTATCATGTTTTACAACGCAAAAATTTAAAGGAAAACAAGCAAAACTTAGCATCTGTAACTTTTGGCAATTGTTGTTGCCATCGTCATTTTAATTTTCAGGTTATGGACAAAGTATTCAGAATAATGATACATGAAAGAGCGATCATAAAGAGGTCGATGATGCAATTCAGCAGTACGGATGATACCATCCAGTTTACTCTCTCAGCTTAATTCTCGCACATTCCAGAATACTATACGGATTGTCCTGTACATGTTGATCGGTTGAAAATCAGATTTCTTGGTGTAAAACATTCGAATCTGTGGACATGAACGACTCATCATACAGGCTTCGCGTAACCGGGTAACGTAGCAGAACGAAACTGCTACCCGATTTCTAACGGTGGCTTACAGGCGAGAAACGAAAGAGCCAGTAACGGTAACCAATTTGTTTTATTCTCTTTCTGCCAATTCATTTTTTTGCAGGTTTGTTATTAAGTTACTTAGAAAATCCAGTTTTTGAATCCATGTCTCTGTCCAGTTGAAACTTTCACTTGAAGAAACACCCCTAACTAAAGTAAGTACGTTGCACACTTTCAAAATATTGATTCATCATCATATCAGCTCATCTGGATATTTTGCATTTGGAATGAAATGTGCTTACTGCATAACCAGAATAAAGGGTTGTTCTCAAAAAGTTTGTGCATACGTTTGATGTGATGGTTTGCTGCCGATATCATCGACCAAGTTTCAATTTTCACGAGCGATCAACGAGCATCAAACTTTTCTTACGAACAATATTTCCATAAAACTTCATCAGATATTGTGAGCTCAACCATGCGCCAGCGTAGGTGTTATTGGCTGCTCCATGTAGCGCAACGGTTTTTAAAAACGTTTATTACTACATCAAAATGCATAACAGAGAATACCCTCTCTGATGCTGTTCAAAATGTGAAATCCGTCTGAAAATCGCATCCTGTCTTGTGATCTTTCCGTTAGTGAACACTTTAATTAAAGATCTGCACACGATTTACCTATGCGTTTCGAGACAACTGAATTCAACTATGGCTACTATCATGAAAGTACTATAACAGGAAGGTGGAACTGTCGCTGTTGTTCAATAGTTAAGTATGTCGGAGAGAAATATCTGTAACACACGTGCTTCGTTCTACTTTTTCAGTCTTAATTACATCCACTTTTATTGCACTTTCTTTGCATGCGTGGTTTTTGCTAAAATTTTCTTTTCTTTATAGAGATAGCAGATTTCATTGAATTATAAGTAAGCAATGCATTATTTTATTGCAATCAGAAACCGTCTCTACTATGAGGAAACAATAATTATCGGAATTATTATGGCATCATGCGAACATAATCGATCAGTGGTAAGAAATGTGCTTCGAATCACTTATGTCCTGAATTCGAATCTGAGATACCCTGCGTTAACGCGTTACGTAAAATTAGTTCGTGTATATTATAATGTGCATTTGTTCGAACTAACTAAGGGTATATTGAATCCTATGCTTTGTCAATATTCAAATGCCGTGGAGTCAACAGAGTGCAATTTGTAGCACATTGGCACAGAAGCACCCCTTGGTGCCCTTCTCCGAGGACGATTGATGGCACTGTAGCCATCAGCTGTTAACGTGAGCCTCAAGTACAGTTTGTAGCCAAGGAGTACGACTTAGCAATACTGTATGCCTCATACGATTTGTGAGTTTGCATTTGTTCTCTTATTGTTTATGACGATTTCGAGTGTAGTAGGTCCACGTTCTTTTTGTCGTTAATGAACGATTTTGTTTTTAAAGCAGTTTTACATTTTACTGTCATGCGCTCTTAAAAATATAACTTCAGTGTGTCCTTCACGAAACCTGTACTGCGCCTAAACTATCGATTCGCATGCAAGTTTAGAATAGATCAAGTTTACACTCCAGATCTACACTGGAGGCCGCATAAACATGCCATTAAAATCTGAGCAATATGCTAACCATTACTTGATAGCTGGGCTTGGAAAATCTATCTGTACAATTCCAACTAGTCTTATTTTACCTCAAATTAGTCTTTTTGGGATTCAGAACAGCTGAATTTTCTTCTAGAAATATTGTGATTGCACTGTAGACAGCACGAGCAACAAAAAATTATACTAATTCGAAGTTTCGATTAAACTTGTATTGGATATTGTCAGAGAATAAAAAATTTTTTCTACGTGGGTCAATTTGTGTTTCTTGTATTTGACCCTACAAGTGGCACGAAGTACCGGTTCCTAATTAGTTTCTACATTTCGGAAAAGTTAAGTCATCCAGTGCAACCGATAAGCTCTGTTTCAGAACTTTTCTGCAATTTGAAGTTATTCACTGATTATGATCTTTATTTTTACGTGGTTCGGTCAGTCACTGTGGTGTCGTTGCTGCCATCACTTTTCCCTGGCTGTAATAAGTTATTTCCTTGCATTGTAAGTTGTATTATGTTAGCCTGTTTCCGTTTTCATTCATCATAATCAGTTAGTTATCTGATATGAAATTCCGTTGTGGTGGTCTCATTTCCGTCGTGTGCCGAGAGTTGTTTGTGATTTAAAGCGCCTGTAAATCCCTCGTTTGAATTTGACGATGTAAACTGTCGGGTTATTTATTACCATAGAAAAATTGCGTCACCGTGCAATGCACAATTATCGATAATGTCCATATGTTGACATCTTCCCTGACTGACTGCAATACTGATATTTCATACCAGTTCTTCGGAGCACCAGTTTTTCTCTTTCAATCAACCGTCGTCACTGCTGGCATCATAACGAATCACTAGATGTTTATGTATTATCAACAGTGGTGATGTTAAATACCCGAGGAAACGCGGCGCTCGACAGGACTTAGGGTAAATAATTCAACTAATTCAGCCCTATGCTACTCGTCAGATAGCGTCATTTGGATCCCTGATACTGCGTTATATTTCTCTACATATTTCACTTGCTTTACTCGTTATGTTTATTGCTAGGATATACGGATGCTTATTCTGATTTCTTCTAAAAGATGCGATTTCCTGCATGCTTATATAGTTGCTGTGAGTCATTGAAACCTCTTCAAAGCGACGTCAAGGTCGATTTTGGTAATTCGCTTCTCTTAGGGATTCCTGTAGTGAACTATAGCTTTGACGCGTTTTGCCATTTTTCCCGCATCTCAGAAATGCAGATTAAGCGTTGACGCCGCAAAAGGAAGCATAGAAACTCGATTTAAACAACCATTATTTAAGTTGTTTTGCACATTAGAATACCAAAAGCCTATGGGAAAATGCAAAAAATGTAGGCATCACGACTAGAATTGCTAGAAACTCTTCGCTGGAACCATATCTTTTGAATATTTATTTTCTAAGATTTGACCCACTGCAGCTCATCACATGTGAATTCATTGTTTATACATCAGACGGAGTGAAGCCTGTGTTTTTCAGCATCCCGTACCCCTTTAACATAAGTTCACAAAAGTTTCGTGAAGCTTAAGATGCAGCGCTCTCTTCGTTTCTATGCCATCAGCCAGAACTGTCTCACCTTTTTAAAGACAGAATCTGCAACTATGTGGCCGGTATAGCTTGTAACTTGTTGTTTCTTTCCCATAGAGGGGTACTAATTTATCGATCTCAGAAAAAGGCGAGTAAT